AGTCACTGCGCTGGTCTTGGTTACGCCAATCTTGGCTCCGGCTTCTGCGCTTCCAGTCCCGGCTTCTAGAGCGGCTGTGGCTATGCTTCCATTGGTGGTTCTTCTTGTCCCGTTCTTGTTTGTTCTCGTCGAGCTGCCGCTCGAACTTGTCAAAGTCGAAATCCGACATGCTTACACAGCTGCGTAGGACCCTGTGCAGCTCTCGCCTCGACTTGCCTCCTGCCTGCTCTGGCTACTTCCACCGTATCAGAATGTTTTATGGGCTAATCTAAAAATGTCTGCCTAAGAGCAGAAAATCCAAGAATCCAGCAGTTTCTAAGTCTATAAGGCTCGATGTCTCAGCTGGTCTTTAGTGAACACTGGAATCCTGAAGAAATAAGCTCTAATATCTGTGAAGGAATGGACTTTCTAGCAAGGTGAGAACAAGCAGGCAAAGAACAAAAGCTTCCTTCTGCCATGTCCTTATATAGGCTTCCAGCAGAAGGTGTGGCCTAGATTAAAAGTGTCTTCCCACCTCAAAAGATCTGGATTAAAGGTGTATCTTTTCCCAGCTCAAATGACCTGGATTAAAGGCATGGTTTCCTACCTTAAAGATTGGATTAGAAGTGGATCTTCCAGCTAGTTGTGGTGGTCAACACCTTCAATCCCAGCATCTGGGAGGCAGAGGCAGGCAACCTAGCCTGACTAGACTAGACTAGTTCAGTCTATAGAGTGCGTTCTCCAGGGCTGTTACACAGAGAAACCCTGTCTCGAAAAACAAAACAAACAACAAAACACAAACTAAACAAAACAAAAATCCTATAATAACAACATCAAAAAGAAGTAGATTTTCTTCTTCAGATTAAGCAAAAATCCCTTACAGTTGTGCCCTCCGTTTTTGGATTTTAGTTGATACTAGATGTAATCAAGTTAACAACCAAGAATAGACATTGAAATTGTAAAGTTAAAAGTTGGTGCTTTGAAAAGGGTGACATAACACATGGCAGATATCAGATGAGATTACTGAAGGAAAACTATGGCAATGACACAAACAATATTAGAAATGGGAAAAGATAGTTACATGTGCAGAGATTAAGATGATCATAGCATGATCAATTATCATGTCAATTAAATTAGAAAATTTAAGCATAATGTACAAACATCCAGGAAAACCAGTTTCCAAAGTGGCTTAAAAATTAGAAAGCCTAAATAGTCCTATAGCAAATAAATGGAACCATAAATTATAAATATAACTATAAATCTTAGGCCAGTTGTCTCTACTAGAAAGTTTTAATTTGATATTTAAGAAACAATTTCTTACTCTATACAGCCTGTTCTAAGCATAATCAATGGTCATATGAGAAAAGAAAATCATGACTGTCATGCATTTGAGACAGGGACTTGCTGTATAACCTAGGTTGGCTTCCAACTTAAGGTACTACTGTGTTAGCCTTCCCAGGGCTGGGATCACAGGTATGAGGCAGCACTGTCTAGCTCCCATTATCACCATCTAATTTCTGCCTTTGGGTTGGAGAGGTAGCTCAGTGGTTAAGAGTAACGGTTGTTATGCCAGAAGACCTGGGTTCAATCCCTAAATCTTAAATGGTGGCTCACAAAAGTCTGTAACTCCAGTTCCAGGGCATTGACACCCTCTTCTGGCTTCCACAGGTACTGTTTTCCTGTAGTTTACAGACATATATGTAGGAAAACAGCGATGCACATAAAATAAAAATAAATAAATATTTAAATTATTAATTCAGATTTATAGTATGTATGTTAGGTAAGTATGCGTGACTAGAAAAAATAATAAAGGTACTGAAAAGAGAAGACTAATCTGTTGATTTTATGATACAGCATATTTGGTTTCCCTTAATCTTAGTATTTCCCAAGGAACATAACTAATCTCTCTCTTAAAAGATTCAGAATGAAGAGTGCACCCAGCCCTGTGCTACTGTCTTGCTGCTTGAAGTTTAGTTGTGAAAAACTGCAATATGGCTTGGTGTGTGTGTGTGTGTGTGTGTGTGTGTGTGTCTGTGTGTGTGTGTATGTATGTGCGTGAGATTGAATGATTGAGACAAGGTCTCTACAACTATCCCAGGCTGGCTTCAGACTGTGGCATACTTCTTGCCTCAACTCCTGTGTGTTGGGATTGTAGGTATGTATCTATGTTCATTTTAGGATTCCATTTTAAATGATCTTAATGTTTTACAACTTAAAATTGTTTCTTCATATTTGGGGCAATTTCCCCCGTGAAACAAATAAATAAAATTTAGTAATTATTTTTAAAATAGCAAAATTGGACCTGGATATGGATTTATATTACTTCTGTAGCAGCTCTCAAGATAGTGAATGGGGTCAGTCATAGGGCCCCCTCCTTTTTTGTTTCCTGTCTCTCAGAGGTCACCATCTTCATTGGTTAATTTTCTTGTGTTTCAAAACTTCCTATATGTTTTGTCCCAGTATCACCGGAGTTGTTTCACATGATTTTCTATGTTTGGTTGCTTCAGCTAGGTGAGGACATGTGGTCTTTATTACTCCGTTTTGACTGGAAGTTGAGTCAGTTTATTTAAGTGGTTTATCATTTCTTGAGCAGTCCTTTATTTGATAACTGCACTGTTTATTCTAGTGCAGTTGTTTGGCTTTTCTGTAGAAAGGTGCACAACTGTTGCTTGTCTATTTGTTTTGTTTTAAAAGTAACTGGCAGCTGGGCAGTGGTGGCACACGCCTTTAATCCCAGCGCGCAGGAGGCAGAGGCAGGCGGATCTCTGTGAGTTCAAGGCCAGCCTGGTCTACAAGAGCTAGTTCCAGGACAGGCTCCAAAGCTATAGAGAAACCTGATCTCAAAAAATAAAAAAAAAAGTAACTGGGTAGTACTTTAAAGACCTAGCCTGTGAGGACCTGTTTATTAGGGGCCCTGAGATTGGGCTATCTTTATGGCTATGAATATTCTCTACTGCACATGCTATTACTGATGCCTTTACAGCCTGTGAGTTATGACCCACTAATGTATTTTACAAATCATAATGAAAAGTGGATACACTTGGTTGTAATATATCCATGAACTAGTCAAGAATAAACATTTCTGTGATATTATTCTGAGTTACATCTGTGGAAATCACCAAGCTCCATCTTTATGCGTGTCTCATGCAGAAAGGCCAAATTAGTATAAAATTACAGGAATATCCATGCTCTTGCTATATACTATTACTTGTTGTTTTAAAAAAGTATAATACTTTCATTAATTCTATGAGAATTTCATTTGGTGTGTTTTAGTCATGATTATTACCACTCCTCCCTGATCTATCACCCACATTCTCACTCCCCCAACTTCATGTACTCCCTTTTAATAACCCGCTGAGTTTAATCTGTGCTTCCAAATACTTCTGGGCAAACGGACATCCACTGGAACATAGTGGACTTACTAACGGCCACATATTAATGAAAACTGACTCTCTGTCCTCCAGAAGCCATCTGCTGTCAGTTAGTCTTCATGTGCTCCTTCTTCCTCCATGTTGGGATGTTGGCTGGCTTGGCCTTGGCCAACTCCTGTGCAGTCAACCATGTCTTCTGTGGATTCACAAGTGCAGCAGCCCTGTCGAGGCTAGAAGATATTGTTTTGTTTCTGCTCTCCTCAACTTCTGGCTCTGTCTTTTCTGTCCTCTCTTCAATGATGGTCCTTGGGCCTTTGGGGGCTACTTGCTTTTAAGGCACAGAATATTATCTAATATTAGCACGGTTGTCAAAGACTTCTGAATAAACTATTTACAGTTACATAGATACAGTGTTTTCAGAATAGTTGGTAAAGAATGTAGTTTAACTTGCCAGTGTATGGTTCTAAATTTATTTCTTGTATGTGATCATGAATTTTATTTAGAATTCCATAGCAGCCATTTATTTGCATTGTTAAGTTAGAATTCAGATGATTTGGCTTTCCAGATATTCTTTGTTTCTTGTAAAATCAAAGAAAACATTAGAATTCAACTTTCTTTCAAAAGATTCTTTAAATGTAGTCAGATTATTTGAGAAACATATTTAGTTATCCTTGATAGTAATGATCAGAGAGAGAAAAAGAGAGATCTTTGAAATAAATAAAGTCAGTCCATCGTTTTTGATTTCTTCTACTGCTGGACACCCCATTTCTTCCCAGGTAGCGGAGCTGCCAATTCCAGGCCCTCTTCCTTTTCTGCAACCTATGCACTAAACTAATGATCAGTAATGACTGAAAGCTAGTGAGAAATATGAGAAGCCAAAGAAGATTCTTTCTGGCCTGGTTTATTTGAAAATGGTTTATTTAAAACTGAGTAATTAACATCAGAATAAGGACTCGACAACATTTTCCATGCTAAATCCAGTCTTTGGTTTTTTTAAAAACTGTTTTCCTTACTATTTTATCCTGTCTTAATTACTACCAGTAATGCAAATACTTGAATTTTGAGTAAAATGAAAAGGGGATTGTAAACAGCATGGACTCTTTTTATTGGAATATATTCATTGCGTGTTAATTTATTTCTTTCAAGTATATCATGTGCTTTGACCATGTTCTCCCTTCCTCCTCTCCTGTTAGTTCTCCATTTCACCCCTTCTGATGGGTCTTCTCTTCCTTTAGTTTGTTTTTCATGTCCATGACTTTATGTATCTATGTACTATCTAGGATCCATAAATGGGGAAAAAAATCACAAAGACAAATGGTATTTGTCTTTCTGAGTCTGACTTATTTCACTTAATTGGATGATTTTTAGTTGCATCCATTTTCCAGCACATAACATACTTTCATTCTACTTTTTTACTAAGAATTGTATATATGCCATAGTTTCTTTATCTATCTCTCTGTTGATGGATACCTCAGTTTATAACATTAATTTTGCTATTGTAGATAGTATATATTTGGAAAAAAATCAAGTCTTCAAAGGGATTTAATAAATGTAAATATGTTAAGTGCCGTCATTGTTGTTAGTTGAATACATCTTTTTTGTCTTTTTAGGGGAAGGTGGTTCTTAACACTGTATTTTTCTTTTTTTCAGCTACTAACTCAGGATTGTTACCCCCACCACCGGCACTTCCTCCAAGACCTTGTCAAACACAAGTAGGTCACATATTTGATTTCTGCAAACTGTTGTCTTACCACTATGCTGCTTTGCAAGGATTAATCACTACATTGTAGTCGTCAGATGATTTCTGGATTAAGAAAATAGAGAGAAGCTGATTTCTCTTAATTCTGGCAGCTTCACAGGTTCCTGTGGAAGTGGAGTTTCTTTAGTATGCTACCAGCCATACTTTCAGTTCTGGTTATTGACAGTTGCATGAAGTTTTTCTACACATAGAGAAGTATAAGAAGTGTGTCTGTAAATTGGAGTTAGCGTAATTAGTCTGTATAGGACTTGCAGCCTGGGCAACCGTATATTCAACAGCAGTTTAGGAGCTATGTTATATCCACATATTCTAAAAGTAACCCTTAGCATGGGGTTAGTGCTGTAGTTTGGGTCTATGGTACTTTCTTAAGGATGTTCTTTCCACTCAGATTTAATAAATTGAAACAGCAGGAGAGGGAGAGTGTGTTTTACCTGTAAATTAATTGTGCCACTTTGCCTGTGCTACCATGGCCTTCAACATCAAGAATTGTAGAAGGAGCTGCAGGCAGGCCTGCTTTTCGTCCCACCCAGCTCCCACATGGCTAGCTTAGCCCCAGAAATGATGACACAGAAACTGTATTCTTTTAAACACTACCTGGCCCATTATATCTAGCCACTTAATGGCTAATTCTCACATCTTGATTAACTCATCTCTCATAATCTGTGTAGCACCATGAAGTGGTGTCTTACTGGGAAAGATTCAGCATGTCTGACCTGGCAGCTGGCTCCATCGTGTCTGACCTCACTGCCTTCTACCTAGCATTCTGTTTTGTCTTCCCCACCTACCTATGTTCTGACCTATCAGATCAAGCAGTTTTCTTTATTAATTAACCAATGAAAGTAACAGATAGACATATGACCTTCCCACATCATTTCCCCTTTTTCTGTTTAAACAAAAAGGAAGGCTTTCATTTTAACATAGTAAAATTACATATAACAAAACAGTTTTCAAGCAAGAATTACAATCACAATATTTAGATCTATTTTATCTTTTAGCATAACAAAGGAAGACTATAACTATCTATCTATTCTTCAACTCCATCAAAGACTCCAGAAGGATACACTATTACTTAAACAAACAAGATGTAAGCAACTTCCAAACTCTAGAAATGACAGAGACATATCGCTGCCTGGACAGTCACCCAAAGTTCTTCTGTACCTTTGGGGCATCCGTCTTCAGCCTTCAGGCCCATAGTATCCTACAGACATTTCCATGAAGCAGGAAAATTCAAAGACAGTTCAGTCACTATCTGCTGTGTCCTGAAGAATGTCTCACAGACTCTTTCATGAGTCAGGAACCTCAAAAGACCATCTCACCTTTAGGCAAGTTCAGCAGTCCTCTCTCTGTGGGTTCTTTGTGTCCAGTTTATGCAACAGTCCAGGCAAGAACAGTTTCTTGCCCAAATGGCTATCGAACTCCATAAGGAGCCTCTTTGAAGCCCATCTTCCTCTTGAAGTAGATTGATGCTGCCAGGAGCAGACGTGTCTCATTGTCATGAAAAACCCTAAATTATTAAAACATTTTAAATGCCATATTCTGTAGTCTTTAAAAGATATGAAGAATGTCTATCTAAAATATATCTATGCACATCTAGAAAATCTAACTAATATGACTACAAGATTGACTATTATTGATGATTATCCATTAACAACCTATATACATTACATTTTTAAATGAACTACACAATCACAACACCTTAGTCAAGGTCAGAAATACATATACAGATAAATTGACCTTAAAATCCATACCAATGCAAATTATTCATATCTATATCATATCCCCCTTTAAATGTAAAAGAACAGTTAAAAACAATATTTGGGAATATGGGCACAGTTATTTCTCTCCAAACTGCTTCATGCTGAATGGGAGCGCTGTTATTCAGGTCTTTCATGGTGTAACCTGTACGCTAGATTCATCTCAGTCAGCAGTTGAGTGAAGTAATTTTTGAGGGTGTTCACAGCAACCTTTCAGGAGGGGTGTGGTCTATCATACCATATTGGAATAGAAGCAATCCAAAGGGTCTCATCCTTTGTGAAAACAAAAGAAGAACTTTTCCAAAGCATCATAACCTTAGATCCAAATTCTAAAGTCAAGGTATTTTCAAAATATCGATCTTGGATTAGTTCAGCAGCATTTATAAACAAATATCTTTTAGCAGCTGTTGCTCCTTCCTCAGCATTCAAACAATTCAAAGAGAGCATAAAAGCATACAGTATCAAGATTCTCTGTGTTTTTTCCAATCTTTGTGCGGCTTTATTTTTACCTCTATTTCATTTATTTTTACTTTGAGACAGGTTCTCTCTATATCTTTGTCCTGGAATAACTCTGTAGACCAGGCTGTCCTTGAACTCACAGAGATCTGTCTGTCTCTGCCTCCCAGGCATTGGGATTAAAGGCGTGTGCTACCACACCTTGAAGTCACAGAGGTCAATCTACCTCTGCCACTTGAAGTCTCAGAGGTCAATTTACCTGTGCCTCCCAAGTGTTGGGATTAAAGGTGTGTACTACCACACCCAACTACTCTCTTTCTTTTTTTTTTGTTTTTTACTTTAAGAACTTTAACTTTTAGCCTACATATATTTTTAACACACTGTTAACCATGTAGACCTTTTCTTCGAATTTGAATCTTTTACTGTATATGTCTCTTTTGTGACCACATAAGTCTTTAATTTACCAAGCAATATCAGTAGGACTAAAGCTGTGGCTTTGGCGGCTGGATCCAGCCCATTCCTTAGCTTTCCATCCTCATGGCAGAGATACCATCTGTAGCCATCTTTATTGCCACAACTCTGTGGCGTTTTAAGGTCCCTGCCAGCAAGTAAGCTGCAGCATTCTGCTCACAGACCACACTCAGTCAGACTGCGTGCCTGAAAGAGTCAGAGTTTGCACTGGCAGTATAGACCAGAATGCCAGCATTTTAAAACAGCATGACTTTTTTTCCTGCTATGGTTGAAAACAAACAAGCATGCAGTCAGCTTTTATCAACACCGTTTAAGTGTTTTGTGGCAGGACCTCTTAAAAGAGATGCAGGGTTTTGCAGCTAAAGCTGAGTCAGGAAGCCTCTCTTAGATGAGAGCTCTTGCTTGCCTCTAGCCAGCAGAGCAGACCCGAAAAATTGCTGCTACCAAGAAAACATGTTTTACTCTTTCTTTCCCAAGCTTTCTCAGGCTTTCTGTGGATTCAGTTATCCATGTCTGGGCGCCATTTGTAGAAGGAGCTGCAGGCAGGCCTGCTTTTCGTCCCACCCAGCTCCCACACGGCTAGCTTAGCCCCAGAAATAATAACATAGAAACTGTATTCTTTTAAACACTGCCTGTCCCATTATATCTAGCCACTTAATGGCTAATTCTCACATCTTGATTAACCCATTTTTAATAATCTGTGTAGCACCATGAAGTGGTGTCTTACCGGGAAAGATTCAGAATGTCTGACCTGGCAGCTGGCTCTGACCTCACTTTCTTCTATGCAGCATTCTGTTCTGTCTACTCCACCCACCTAATTTTCTGATCTATCAGGCCAAGCAGTTTCTTTATTAATAACCAATGAAAGTAACAGATAGACAGATGACCTTCCCACATCAAAGAATTGAAAATGAGAATGGGTAACATATCCATGGAGTAATATACATAGGTGCTGTAGATCACTCATTATTACTACCAAGGAAAATTCTTCTTTAAAGAGCCCTTCTAGCTGTTGGGGGAAAATATTGGGAATTTACTTTACAGAGAGTCACAGTTTTTATTTTGCTGCTCCACATGGATCATAGTATACCTTTCCACATGGCAAGTCTCAGGATCAGTCTTGGAAACCAGTTGTAACAGTTGCTTGTCCTTTCTTCAGACAGTTGCATGTTTCTTTAGCAGCCACTCAATCAAGAGATGCAAATACCATGAGGTATTGGCTTCTTGCTTTAGTCTGAAGGGTTATAGGGAGCCCAGTTCTTCCTGATCCACATATAAACAAAAATATGGATTCTTAAAACTGTAAGAGAAATTTATCTGTTAAGAAGTCCTATTGGGTTCCTGCTGATTGTTTAACGTCAAACCCAAATATTCTACCCCAAATATTTCTACCCCAAATATTTCCTTTGTTATACTTTGTGCTTATTCAAAATTATTAATTGTGTTAATTGATCATCTGCATCAGATTAGACTTTGCACTAATCACCTTAATGCATAATATAATCCCTCCAAACCCTAATGAAATAAATACTAATATTATTCTTTTTTATTGACATGAAAGTTGGAGCATGCCAGGTTTAAGCAAGTTACCAGGGGGCCATAGCTAGTAAATAATAGAGCCTCTCCCAAACTGAAGTCTTTACACCATCACTCTCTCAATCCTGGAGTCTAATTATATCTACATCAAGACAAACAGTAGATCTGTTGTGCTCATTTGTAACTGAGACTTTCTGCACACCATCCTGCAGAAGGCATAAAGAAGTTGAGAATCCCACTTTGCACTGACAGCAAACCTGGATTTGGTCACAATAGCATTAACAGGCTCTTTGGGATGCTTATCTGGAAAGCACTGCTACTACCAACTGTCCTTATCTCAGCTGGTTGCCTGGAGTGTCTTGACTGCTTGGGACTTAATGATGGAGGATTTGACAGGGAGACTGGAGATTCTCAAGTCAACATTAGTGAATTAATCTGCTTTCCTGTCTGAAGTAATAAGGGCGGCAGCGGGGCTGCGTCCCCAACACCCCAGCCGCCTGCCCGGCTAGCTTATGCCCCGAAATAATTACACGGACACTGTATTCTTTTAAACACTGCTTGGCCCATTCTCTTCTAAGCTAATTCTCACATATTAATTTAGCCCATTTCTAATCATCTGTGTGTAGCACCCCAAGGTGCGCTTACCGGGGAGATTCTAGCCTAGTCCATCCTGGGTCAGAGCTTCATCCCGGTAGCGGGGCATGGCCTCTCTCTCAGGCATCTGCTCCCTAGAGGAGAGCTGTCGAGACTGACCTCACTTCCTCTTCCTCCCAGCGTTCTGTTCTGTCTACTCCTCCCACCTATCCTCTAACCA